GGGCGCCGCCCGCCCACGCCCCCCCCCCCTCCCGCTGCCACCATGGGGAGCCTCGGCTGCTGCCTCCTGCTCGCCCTGGCCCTGCTCGGCCCCTGCGCCGCTGCTGCCAGGAAGGTAAAGGCAGGCTGGGGGCAGAGCCCGGACGGGGGCTGCCCATGTGTCCTGTGCCATGCCGTGCCGTGCCGTCCCCAGGGAGCGGGGTGAGCGGGCGGGGTGCTGCACACCCTGGCTGTGCCAAGCGCTCCCTGGTACCATCCCTGGGGTGCAGCGTGAACGGCCAAGGGGCTGCCTGCTCTTGCTGTGCCACGCGGTGCTGCCTGGGGCCACGCTGTGCCATGCCGTGCTGTGCTGCTCCATTTCTGTGGTTTGGCCTCAGTTGGCAACAAAGAACCACGCAGTTGCTCTCTCACTCCTCCCCTCTTCCCAGGGGGATGGGGAGGAGAATCAGAAGGAAAAGGCAAAACTCCCTGCTTGTGCTAAGAACAGTTGAACAGAACAGAAATGGGAGAAGAACAACAATAATACTGACGAAAGGAATATGCAGCATGCAATGTTCTCACCTTCCAACGCTAATCTTGCTCCTGAGTAACACATCCTCCTCCTTCAGCAAGCTCCCCACTTCAATACTGAACATGACATCACATAGTATAGAATATCCCGTTTCATTGGCTGGTTTGAGCCAGCCCAGCCAGCTTCTTGTGAGAATTTACCCTATCCCAGCTGAGCCCAGGATATTATGCAACCCCTATTCTATACCATCTACCTCAGGCCCCGAGTCCACACTTTCCAATTTACTACTATCTTGTTTACTGGTTTTATATATACTTATATGTACAGACACACACACACACACAGAGATATCATTCCCCTGGTCAATGCACCGTCCCTCTGAAATGTCCGTTGAGTTCACTTCCTGCCTGATGTTGTTCTCCATCTGTTGGAACAGTCTTCCAGGGCAGGAGAGATATCTTGTAGTGTTGGAAGGTCACTTGCTGCCTCTGGAGCACATGAGTGGTTTTATCAGACCTCATCCTTTATTAATTTGGATGACTCTGACTGCAATAACATTGACATGGCATATAGCAACTATAGTACTGAGAACATACCATGGCATGGTTATCTGGCAATTAACATCATACAATTTCATTTACTGACTCTTCTCACTCAAAATCAAATCCCCATGAGGTATGCATCGGAGTTTCCTATCCGTCCACATTACCCACAAAGTGCATCCAGCTCCTTGAGCAAAAGCAGTTCGATGGGTGGGATTGCCTTTGCCTGAGGCAGGACTAACCCAGATGGTCCTCCCTAACATATTCCTCACGTGCACTGCAGGGACTTTATCTGCTTCTACAGCATGGAAAGGTTTTGACTGGGCAGGGCCAGCTCGATTGGTTGATCCCCTGATGTTAACTGAACGGGTGGCATTTGCTAATGTGAGTCCCAATGTTAGAAGGTTCCACCACCCAGGGCTCTCAGTGTAGTTTTTAGCAGTCCATTGTATCGTTTCTTTTTGCCTGGAGGCTGGTGCATGACAAGGGATGTGACACACCCACTCAATGCCATCATCCAGCTCTCTACGAGGTTCTTATGGAAATGAGTCCCATCATCTGACTCCATTCCTTCCACAGTGCCATGCCACCATAGAATTAATTTTCAAGGCCCAGCATAGTGTTCTAGCTGGTAGCATGCAGCACAGGATGTGTTTCCAACCATCCACTGGTTGCTGTGCTCAATCTGACTGTAACTTGGGATAGGCATCCTCCAAAAACCCACAACACCTAAGCAGCCTGTTGTTTCCTTCTTGCTAGTTGGTGGAGACATAGTTGCTCTTCTGTTGAGCACATCCATTGGGATCTGACGATCCCCATCTTGCCATTTTATTCCTAAAAGCTGGATCTCCTGTGCATCTCCCTCGGCTTCACTTCATTTTATGGCAAAACCACCTTTCAGAAGGATATGGATTTTTTTCTCCCCTTTATCAAAAACTTCATCTGCTGTTTTGCCCCACACAGTGAAATCATCGATGCACTGTAGATGAACATGGGAGTCGTCCTTTTCCATTTCGCTTTGCACTAGTCCATGACAAATTGTAGGACTGTGTTTCCACCCCTGGGGCAGTCAGTTCCAGGTGTATTGCACATCCCTCCACATGAAAGAAAACTGTGACCTGCACTCTGCTGCCAAAGGAATTGAAAAAAACCTCATTGGCAATGTCAGTTGTAGAACACCACTTGGCTGCCTTTGACTCCACCTCAAAAAAGCCCATCAGTACCCCATAGAGATAAAGTATGGGCCACCTTTCTTGATCAGCCCTCCGCTGGAGAGAGTCCAGCAGAGGGCTACGAGGGTAGTGAGGGGACTGGAGCATCTCTCCTCTGAGGAGAGGCTGAGGGAGCTGGGCTTGTTCAGCCTGAAGAAGAGAAGGCTGAGAGGGGACTTTATAAATGCTTACAAATATCTTAAGGGTGGGTGTCATGAGAATGGGGCCAGACTCTTTTCAGTGGTGCCCAGCGACAGGACAAGGGGCAATGG